GCAACTCGTGATCAAAACAATTTTATACAATTTTATTGTTACTATTGTTTTTATACACTTATAATTTTGTTTGGAGTCCAAACTTTGGACTAATCCGTTTTTATTATTAAATTACTATTTATTATTATAATATATTAACTTAATGACTGACTGGAAATATAAATAAATTATTAGCACTAAACACATTAAATATTTGATTTTTTTTTTCTTTTTGGTAGTAGGTAATGTATATGATAAAATTTTAGACAGTATGTGCCTCTTCCTAAAAAAAAATTCTGGATACGCCACTGATGGTGTTACGTGATTGGCGAAWCTGGGGCACCGAGTTACTGGCTGACTTTAATTAGTTGGTCTGAACCGATACTCCAGATTTTAGGGTTGAGCTATGGACCAACAATCCATCCTTGTAAAAAATAAAACTGTTGGGAATCTCCTAAAAAAGCCTCAGAATGTGGATAACAATGGAAACTTACTTGGATCTAGGAACGGAAAGTCAGTTTGGAATATGGAATATCAGAACCTTATATAAAGCAGAAGCTTTACAATTTTTTTAGAAGAAATTGAAAAATATAAAGTGCCAATAGTTGCGTTACAAGAAATCTTTTGACAGGGAAATGGTATTATTCAATATGGAAATTCAACCATTTTCTTTGGCGGCAATGAGATGGGGGCATTGGGGGCAAACATGAACATGGAGTAGGTTTCATAATTATTAGCGATTCGATAATTTTAAGCATTAAGCTATTCATACTAGTGAGTTTTGGATTACGCCAAAAACAACTAAAAGAGAAATTTTCAGAAACTTATTTTGAGTTAAAATTCATGTTTTTCACATTTTTTAATGGTTTTTTGGGACGCTTTTAAAAACTACTTCAAATGTAACAATTATAGATGCACTTTTCACCAGATTGATACTGTTGTTAAAAATCGAAGCATAATAATTCAACTACTTATTATGTAAACAGATAAAAAAAAACACTCAAATAAAATCAAGTAAAATCATACATTGTTAAATTCATTTAGAATCTAAAATTAGATACAAGGGTTATTTGATATAAGTTGTCAAATATTTAATTTTTATTATATAATTATTATTATTGTGCATGGGCGTTCTCACGGGGGGATATGGGGGATAGATCCCCCCCAAGGCATACATATTAGTGATATTATCACTGATATATATTTTGTCTATTTTTGGTAACCTTTACGGCTTATCATTTAACAATTTCTTTCATCCCCCTACATTGAAAAATCCTGAGAACGCCTCTGTTATTCTGCAATGAAGTGTGAGTCAGTGGAGAGAGACCTGCCACTGAAATGGTAATATTGCGCACAGCTTGCAAAAAATGTTTTAATTGATCGACATATTATTTCAATTATATGTATATTTMTATGTAGATAGTTTGAACTTTAAAGTTTATCTGAAGGGCTTCGTTTGGTATGTATAATATTGGTAACCAAAATACAAATTTGTAGGAAAAAAATCCCTGACTAATGCTAAAGAAATCGCCGTAATACAATTTCGATGAATAATGAAAACTAAATTACGAATTTAATAATAATAATCAATTGATTAATCATATTGCTATTTGCTACACCGTTTTCTTAAATGTTGACGATGAGAACTTTAAAAGAAATTTTCTGTTTTACTAGATAACCCTGGTTAGAGCCATTTTTTTATGGGAGGAGGTAGCCGGGAGGGMAAAAAAGTCGGTTTAATCAGAATTCATTGGTTAAACTTAGTTTCAATGTTATAGCTTTTTAAAGTTATAACTAGTTTTAAAGTTTAAAAAGTTGTCACTTCCTATACGCCCACCGGACCGGTCGAAGTCGAATACGATATCATTATCCTAGCTATATATATATATATATACTATACCTACTAATAAAAAAAAAGTTGGTACATCGATATTTCATAAAAGGCGCCAAATGCGAGAAACTAGCCACGAGCGCTCGATGACGTCGTTTTTGAACGTCTTTGACGTGAATCATCGGGTGAACGATTGTTTTTAGCATTTTACATTATCTATTGACTATATTAGAGTATCGTTCCGTTTGTAGAATCCCTTTCGTCGCCGACGCATACGTCTCATTAGTCATTACAATTTACAKGGTCATAACTCTCATTAATTTCATTGCACTGTCGTCGATAAGCTTACAAACGTAAATATGTGCATAGCGATCACCACTGTTGCAGTCGGAAGCCAATGATTCCGGAATTTGAGATTCGCAATTTCWCATCATCAAACGGACGAAGAAAACCGCTACAGTGCCACTGTACAGTACAAGTACAACCTGCTACACCATAGTACCACACCGGCCCGGCCATACCCGAAGCACACGCGCACGCGCACACTTGGCAGAGCTTACGCACTCACACGACAATGTCGGTGGCGCGTCGGGCGTAGGCGACTAGCGATCCGTGAAGACAAGACGCGGCGGCGGCGGCGGCGGCGTGCCCTATTCCTATAATCTTGTTATTGATCGTTTATTGTTGCGCGTTTGTTGTGACCGACGCCGCTCCTAGCAACGGGAGAGAAGCCGTAGCCATAGTCACCATGAACGCCTTTTTCCGTCAACAATTCAKGTGAACGATTAACAACGAACAAAATAATAATAATAAATAAACAAAAAATGCATTTATGTTTGGTTAGTTCGTTGTACACACACGACGTTTACGACTAACAGAACGTAACTGACGTTAGTCAAAAACTTTTGTTTTCGTCCTTACAAAAAACCAATAGTAACCGTTTGTGTGTGTGTGTGTGTGTGTGTGTGTATGTGTATGTATGTATGTTTATATGTGCGTATATGTGTACTTGTATACGTTCTCGTTCGTATGTATGCGTGTATATTCACAGGTATACATCAACATCAGTGACGTCCCATCCCAATCGAAACCTATGAAACGCTTCTGGGAGAGTCGTCCGATAATCGAACAGTAAGTGTTTTGTTCCATTTAATAAAAATGAACATACTACCATTAGACTATGATRCGTGCGCGTTTTCTACCGACGGGCGATACGTTGCCTGCGCCGTTTCCAACCGTTTGATCATCAAGACTCAACCGTTCACCGGTCCACACGTCATGGCTACAGCCTGTTATSCCATTGACAGTCTGTGTTGGAATGCATCATCTAATCTCATACTGTGCACACTTTTCAGCAAAGGTGTTGTACAGGTGTACGACATACATGCCGACAAATGGATACGCACCATTAGATGTGGCTATTTTAAGTTTGTGGCTGCAGAATGGATAGGTCGCAAAAAAATTTTGTTAACGCTTGAATTCCATATGGCTTTGGCTGTGTTTGATTTGTTGAAAAATTCCATTGTATACATTGAAATCCCCAAACCCATTTGCCCTTGTGCGGTGTTTAATAGTGATGGAACACATATGTTTGTGGTCTCCAAGATAAATGGTTATGAAAAGTTGCTAATGATGAGTTCTCGGACTTTAGATAGAGTCATTTACATTCAAGACTTAATAGGACCTTGTAATGGTCTAAATAAATCTCCAGATAATCGATTCCTCTGTGTTTTTAATAATAAAAAATTAGCAATTCTCGATTTTCTCTCTGGAAATGTTATTGGTTCAATTGAATGTTCATTATTAAATACTGTGAGTTGGGCGCCCAATAGTAATTATCTAGCTTTAGGATGTTCATTGGGTAACATTGTTGTATTAAGTTCTTCTAATGAGTTTAATGTTGAATTTAAATTATCTCGTTTGTCACTAAATGAAAATTTTGATTTTTTCATAGAATCCGATGGAGTATTAATTAAAAAAAACCCTTCAAAAACCTTTATTAATTCTGTTTCAACAAAAATAGCTTTTATCGTTTGGAGTTTTGATTGTAGATATTTGAGTACTTATGAAGTAGATTCAACATTTCTTTGTATTTGGGAGAAATATAGATTGATATGTGTAGTAGAACTATCTAAAAAAATTAAAAAAATGCAGTGGTGTCAGGTAGAAAATAAGCTGTCWGTAGCTTACGGTACAGGTTTAATTTTTTTTTGGACTGAAGGACAAACTCCTATATTACAGACTTCACCAAAGCTTATTGATGGTACATGTTTATTAGTTTCTAACATATCTTGGTCACTTAATAGTAGAGATATGATTTTGAGTGATGGGAAAAAGTTTTTATTGTTCACTACTTAATATGTAGGTATAGTTAATTATTAATATAATAGGTAGGTAATTATAACATAGTTAATATTTATTGTGTATTAATTTTTACTTTAGATTTTTAACACCTAAATGATTTGTAATTACTTAAAATTATAAAATTTAGTTTTGAAATTATTGTTATCCTACTTAAAATCTTAATTGGAATTAATGTATTTTAAATGTTTATTTTGTATTTATTAGTTTTTTATTGAATAACTATTATTTTTGTTATTTAGGCTATTTTAAAATAATATTTAAGTTGATATTTTATATTAAATAAATTTATTTTTATTACAATAAAATATAAAATGTTTTTATTTTCTGATCATGAATGAAAACCGAATTTAAAAAAAAAAAATCATTTATACTTGAACATATTAAATATAATTACCTAAAATTTTAATTATATAAGAATATCTCGCGTTTTATTGATTATTAAAAACTATTTGAAACATTTTAATTAAAATGTTTATCATTATATGTGTGTTTATTTTGTTAGTAGTTTTTAACTGTAGATTCAATTTTTAAGAAAATTATGAAATTAAATATGGGTTTAGGTAATTCCATGGCGACTTCTGTAAGGAGTGGAATCAAATTAGAAGGGTCAGCAGGTACTGGTTCCCAAATTAGTACTATAACAGTTGTAACGGCTGGTGGGGTTGGTCAAACTCTTGTTGTACAACCAGTACAACAAACTTCCGTAGTGCGTACGTCCATTGACCAGGTAATTACTTAATTGGTATAGTTTTATGTTCATTTTAATTAATTATATCTATATTTTTTTCAGAATGTTAATAGTAGTAGACAACTTGAAAATGCTATACTGTGTGGAACTAGTCCAGTTCATGATGACGGATCCGATAAATCAATGGATGATGACCATATAGATCATAAAGATAGGATTTCTTCGACGGTTACTGTTGATAATGGCCATTATATTGTGGCAGCATCAGGTAAGTTGAATAAATTCATTACATTCATACCATCTATAAAATAATGGAGAATTTTTTTTGTATCTAAAAGGTTCTAATTCAAATAAAATTAAAAATTTTATCTTATTCTTGTACAATATTAGTTCTCCATTTTTCATATAAAATGCATATTATCATATATCGTGATTATAAAATTACACGCTTACAATTAAGAAGGGACTCAAGGACGATCTTATACTTCTCTTACACCAGTACCAACATTGGGTAAGACTCAGGAAAATATTTGTTCATTACAAATTTTTTGAGTTAAAATTCTCTTGTTTGTATTTTCTTGATTTCATTGCTATTTCATATAAAATTACTGATGTAGTACTTTATAATTTGCTTAAAAGGCTCCTCATACTATTGCAAACATTTTTACTACAAGTTAAGCCATGTTTAATGTAACATGACATTAATTTGTATCAATATTCATACTTGACATTTATTAGTAAAATAGTATGTGGAGTCTTTATAAACCCTTTGTTTATTTTAGCTTGATTTCTTACAAATATTTTGTAAAACATATTTAACAGTTAATTTATAGTTTCTATTTTATAGCTTAAATACCTAATTGGTTTATTTTTTGTTTAGTTCCYGAAACAGAATCTGTTGGTTCTGATGATGTTGGCCATTCTACTTATGTACAATATGTTGAAGGAACTGGTGAACAAGCAATTTTCACAAATGGACAAATGTAARTCTCTTAATGTTAATTTTAATAAAAAATAATCATATGAATGTAATCTTTAGGGCATACCCAGTTTATACTGTGGGTGAGAGTGGAACAATGTATCAAACTGGTCAAACCCATTATTACACTCCAAGCACAAATTCTTATTCTCAAGTAATTAATATTTGTATAAATTCTAGTTAAATTTTTCATGATACGACTTAACAGAATTATCCAAAAGGTCCTTATCAAAATTACAGGTCGWGAAGAGGAGGAAAAAAAAATCTATAATTGTTATTTTAACGAAATTATATATCAGGAAATGATATAAAATAAAGGAATGATAATTTTAAGGATTAWTATATTCTTAGAATGATATTTTTCTAAACAGAATTAACTAAAGAAAATATGAATCTGTTAAATAATAATGCGGAACCTTATTTTTCAGGAGTAGTATAAAGTAATTATTACTCAGGACCATACAATCGGGACAATGTTTTTGTGTATATTATACACATTGATCTATTAATAGAAAATAATAAAGCAACTTTATAGAATTATATTTCTTTTTAAAACTTTACCTCATGAATATTTTTCTGTAAATAACTGTCTTATCCCATCCAGTCCTATGCTTTATTTTTTCTATTAATACCATTTTCCATTAATACGGATCCACATGTTTAATATACTCAAAAATGTTGTCTCGAGCGATATTTTCCTAATTTTTACTATTCCTGAAAATATGGTTTCACATTATTATTTTTCTTAGTTAAGAGGGCGCAACGCGCGTATTTGTTGTCTCAGTCTTACAAACGCGTAACATAGCAAATTCACGCTCAGCCGTTCACATTTTACTCCATTAGCTTAAAAATTAGAGTGAATAGACCTATTATGAAACTTGATGGTTAGAACGTTATCTGTGTTTTGTTGGAAGTGTTATTACGATAATTCAGTTTTTAAGTGAGTTATGTGCGTGTATAATAAATTGTAAAATAAAATGCTCATAACTCACTTAAAAACTGAACTACTTTTAAAATACTTCTAACTAAATACAGATAATGTTCTWACTATCAAGTTTCATAATAGGTCTATTCACTCTAATTTTTTATGCTAAYGGAGTAAAACGTGAACTGTTGAGCTTAAATTTGCTACGTTATGCGTTTGTCAGACTGACAACAAATATGGGTGTTGCACCCTCTTAATTCTGCTTCCAAAAATAATTCCGAGAATATATTAATCTTTAAAAATATCATTCTTTTGAAATATCTTTCCCTATAAGAAATCCAGTCCAAATAATTATTTTCCTGAAAAATACAGCACGGTTCCATATTTATTTTCCTCATTGATATGTGCTCCCATCAACTACTTTCCCTATATGAAATAAAAAATTTWAAAATTTATGTTTAACAATTTGGCCCTTGATATCGTTGTATTCATTCATGTGGCACGTGGACATATTTATGTTAGCCACCCTTGCTATATAGTATAGAAAAACAAGATTTCCTTCCGTTTTATATTTATTTTTTTAAGTCAATAAAATTAATGGTCAGGACTTTCTGGATCTTTTTGTGTAGTTTATTTTAATTATATTACAATAATAACATAATGAAATTAAAACATGTTCAAAATGTTAAAGGTTACAAACACCTTAGGACAACCTACATGTCAGGCACAAATTATTGGTAATGGAACCTATATTATACAACAGAATGTTGACAATGATCATACTATTATTGCTACCGCTCAAAGAGACAGCCCGAATTCCGTTATATCTTCGGTATAATAATAGTTTGATAATTATGTAACTTTAATGTGTTTTATTTTACATTGCCTAAATTTKTATTAATTATTGCATTTAACTTATTAGTATATATGTTAATTAATACTTTATAATTATTTTTAGGATGTGTCATATCTTACAGTAAACGCTACTGAGTCTGGCACAACAAACACAAGTATAGATCAACTGAATGGTGTTGAGTCAGATGGAGGAATGCAAAACTCTGGTCTTATGCACGCAAATAGAATTTCTCCTGCAACTGTAAGCTGTTGATACATTGATTTAGAATAATAAATAGCTCAATAATATATTATTGTGAAAGGTCAACTGGCTGATGGAAAATTATGAAATGGCTGAAGGAGTGTCATTACCTCGATCAACTTTATATAATCATTATCTAACACATTGCTCGGAAACTAAAATTGATCCTGTAAATGCAGCGTCATTTGGTAAACTAATCCGATCTGTGTTTATGGGATTACGTACTAGGCGCTTAGGAACTCGGTATGGCACATAACTTTAATTCTATGACTACATTATGTAATTTATTTAAATATTACATTTTTGTTTTAAGTGGGAATTCCAAATATCATTATTATGGCATTAGAATTAAGGCAAGTTCATTATTAAATGATTTTTCCTCTGATGAAAACCTACCTGGGCGAACAAATCAAAGTAGTAGTTCGAAAAAAATTAAATTCATTAAAACTGAAGAACGAAACTGTAATCAATACACAACCAATAGTTCAGATTCTGCTAATTGTTCTCAGAACAGTATTCCATCTTCTCCTCAAGCACAAAACCAAGAATATTTAGGTGATGGTGCTAATGCTGTACCAGAATTTCCTGATATTATTTTGGATGAAATACAATTGGATGATAATTGTACTTTAGAAGATGTAGATACATTCAAAAATTTGTACCGTGAACATTATGAAGTACTAAATTGTTTTTAATTTGAAACTCAATAATTTTATTCAAATAATATTGCTTTTTAGGCGTTTTTAGGTGCCATATTGAACTTAGAATTTGGCACTATTGAGTCACTTTGGCGTGAATTTTGGCGTAGTCAAGATAATAATAATGATGAATGTGAAGAAGAAAAATATTTATCTAAAGAAAAATTATATTCATTGTCAAAGTGCAAAACATTACAACTGTTTGTAAAAACTGTTGATTTTCTATTTTATCAAAACTTGGTGAAAGTTTTGATTCCAGATGTTCTCCGCCCAGTTCCTGGTATGTATATKTTATGTGTTTGTATTTAAAGATATAACTATTTATGAATTATGTACAGGAACATTAACACAAGCCATTAGAAATTTTTCCAAAGGCTTAGAGTCATGGCTTATATCTGCAATGCAAGGGTGCCCAGAAGAAATGATCTCAATAAAAGTGATTACTTTCATATTATTTTTGTTCAACTATTCTTCATTATTATTATAATTCATAATTTTAGGTGACTGCTGTTAGTGCCTTTGCACAAACCTTACGCCGATATACTTCGCTTAATCATCTTGCCCAAGCAGCAAGAGCTGTGCTTCAAAATTATACCCAAATTAATCAAATGCTTACTGATTTGAATCGTGTGGACTTCCGTAATGTACAAGAACAAGTAAGAAAGTTTAAAATTTAATGTTTTGTATTTTATATATATTATATAAATTTATTGGTTATGAAAAAGGCATCTTGGGTGTGCCAATGTGACTCGACTTTGGTCCAACAACTGGAAGCGGATTTTAAGCATACTTTACAACAACAAAATTCCTTAGAAGAATGGGCAACTTGGTTAAAAAGTGTTGTGGATAATTGTTTGAAACAATATCGTGATACACCTAATTTCACAAAAGAAGCTAGGCAATTTTTATTAAAATGGTCATTTTATAGGTAATTTTTTTTTAGTAAAATTAATTTATTCACTCAACATTTTAAAAATAATTTGAATATGCATTTATCATGAATAATTAACATTCATATTTTTGTTATTTTTTATAGTTCAATGGTAATACGTGATTTGACATTACGTTCAGCTGCTAGTTTTGGATCGTTTCACCTAATACGCCTGCTCTATGATGAGTATATGTTCTATTTAATTGAACATGAAGTGGCTCTAGTCACAGGAGAAACACCAATTGCAGTAATGGGTTCAGGAGATGTAAGTATAGTTGAATGATTGTATTATAATCTATTTTTGCATTTAGCTAATTAAGATAGTTTTTATCATATACATTTTTGTAACTTTTGTTTTATTGAATCAGTTTTTAAGACTAAAAATAATGAATAATAAAAAATAAATACACCTATTGCATTGATTACATAATTTTAATGGTTTATATGTATTAGTAATATATTATATATTTTTAATTTAGAAAACTATACCCACAGAAGTTCTGATTGACTATGACTCCACAGAGTACACTAATTGCAATGGAAAACGCATGAAAATGAACTAGTCGCCATGCCATAATATTATGTATTTAATTTTTA